TTTTAAATTTTTCCAAAAATTTGGTTTACCTCCGTACACTACCACCCCATCCCGTTCCGCCCTACTTCTCCTACTCCATTTCTTTTCAAAATCATAAATCCAAAATCGTTCTTCCATATTTTTCACTCACTCTCTCAAAAACTCTATTTTCTCTCTCTAAAATGCCCACAGTCCTCCATTTTAAGTGAAGAGAATGTGTACAATATAGCAAAATAGACAGAGGAGGTCGAGCGTTATTAGGAGATTATAACATTATGGAAAAGGTGTTGGTGATTGCGGACAGTAGAGAGAAATTGATGACAGAAGAGCATAACTTCCTGCCAGTAGCTACAAGAACGTAATTGGAAGAGGAAAGCCCGAATATTGAGAGTCACGTGTCCGCTATAAAGGGATATAGATCTAAGATCGAATTTGAGCTCTCGTGGATTTTGTTGGCAGCGATAGTTGCTGAGGTTGGGTTAGTGGTGCCAAGGATGTTTCATCGGTGATTGATCTAGAAACATCAACATCGTGGTCTATATTTTGGAGAAATATAGGTCGTTGGACGGTTGTAGATTTGAAGGTTGCTATGATAGAAATGATGCAGCCAGATGAGAAGAATTTGACTAGTCACAGTCATATAATTAGCGAGAAGTTAATTGTGTGATTTATGACAAATAAATCACAAATGATCTATTAGTTATTTGATTTATAACTTAATATGTGATTGTGATAAATCTAGAGATGACGAAAAAACCTTCCCCGACGAATTGGTGACATCCCCGTACCGTGAAGAAGCAACAAAAAATAAAAATAAATAAATAAAAAAGAGAATGTTAGTTACTTAATTTGAGCATTATTTGCTTTGGATTTTTAAAATTTTGAATTTGTACTTTATTATCTATAATAGCGTAAATTAAAATTTCCCCCAAAAAAAAAAAAAAAAAAGGGCAGACGAGGCAGCAAACTGGGCAACCTTGCCCGACCTCCGTCCCTGCCCCGCCCCGCCTCGCCTCGAACCCGACTCACTGTCATCGCTAGATAAATCTTGTGTATGTGATAAGGACATTGCGTGATTTGTAATTTAGTATGCAATTGTGACCTATAAAATTCTATGGTGTTTGATTGTGACCTTGTTTTTAATTTCAACTTGTAGGTCACAACATTTATCAAAGATTACAGTGATATATTATCTCATTTTTTATTTTTATTTTTTTTATTAAATTGAAATTGTATTCATAAAATTATGAACTACAGTATTTATGAAATTTTACCTCTATTATTCATATATTTTTTTAATGTTAAAAGAATATAGGAACATAACTATCCATGTTTAAGATTACGTTTTGCGAAAATATTAAACTTTGAGAAAATTTTCACAAAAAATAGAAAAAAAAAAACTTTTTTTTAAAAAAAATTTTCAAAAAATAAAATTCGTATTAATTTATTTATATAATATTAATGAGTAGGGGTGGATAAAACAACCAAACCAAACCAAGCAGTTCGCTTCGATTCTACAAACAAAAAATAATAGTTTTAATTCTTAAAATCGAGAATAATTTGATTCTGGTTCTGATTCTAGATCGCTCCTATTTCTAGAACTAAGAACCAAACTAAATATTGAAATTTTATAAATTATTTATTTATATATATATTTTGAAAATCAGTGAATCACAATTAATACCATAGAATTCAAAATTCAATTGAAAATTAGGATAAAAAGGTCACTTACCTTCAATTTCTCATTTTTCAATTTGGAGTCTGAGACTCTAATTCATTTTGTAGACACAAACCATAATTCATTTCTCATTTTCTCTCCTTTTTAATTTATACACCAGCTCTTAGATGGAGACCAACAATTATCGCTTGACGTCTACCGTCGCATGTATTTCTGAAATTAAAGCCTCAACCTTTGGTTCTTCTTTCTCAAATGCTCTCTCTTTTTTTCTCAATTAGTAACGAAACTAGAACCAAAAACCAAACCAGAACTGAATTGTTTGATTTTCGGTTTGGTTCCATACCTTAAAAAACAATTTGATTCCATTTAAAGAAAAAAAAAAAAAACAATGGTTCGTGGTTCGATTTGATTCTCTTTGAATCAGAACCAACTGGAACAATGTCCACCTCTATTAATGACTATGACCTTGGTGGATATAAAATCACAAATGTGATATATATATATATATATATATATATATAGAAAGATTTTCTCTTTAACCATATTTTAACCTAAAGTTGAGCAAGATGGTTATTTTATCTCCATATTCATCCATGTGACCTTTTGTGAAGATGAACGCAATGTAATGATGGCTCCATTGGTTCCAATTTCCTTGATCTTTTTCTATAACAGCAAACGATTTGCATCAAGTTGTGGAGGTCACAACCAACAAACATCATGAAACATTTGAAATTGCTTTTATGTGACATCACTTTCTATCTGACTTCGTATTCTCTCGAAAGTTGTGATAAATATGAATAAAGTTAGTTTGTTGTGTGTCAGTTCCTAAAATTATGTTAAATATATAAAAATCATGATCACGCCGAATGCTATGGGCCATGATATCCTTGTCAACTTAATTTGTGACCTCAGTTGTATGTAGCATTATATGTTTTGACATATTGTCTTTGCGACTTTTTTTCACTTGAAAGTTGTGACAAATATATGGAGAATGGTCTTTGTGATTTTCGTTCGAGATATAAAAGATAGTATCCTGTATTTCAAAATGAAGAAGAAGAATATGGATGAAATTCCTAACAATAAGGATTAAATTTTCTCATCAAATTAGAACAAATAAGGTAAAGATGGAATGTTTCCTTTCCACACAAATATAAAGAAAGAAATACATGCAATTAATAATATTCACATTTTGAATAATAAACATAAGATAATAATCCCTAAATATTAAGGGATTCGTAAAAATGGAAAATAAAATGCCAAAATATATTTAAATTGGTTTTTAAATAATGTTTGATTTGTGAATAAAATATGTGTTACCTAATGGGTCATTTCTTGATCGATATGTCATTTATTATTTACATTTATAATTTGATTTTAACAATTTTTAAAATCTATAATAGTATTGTGTACTCTATTTTCAATGCATAGGAGTTCTCATGTGAGTAGCAATAACGTCCAAGCCATCCTATCATCGGGCTTGATATAAATCAACACAATCATTTATGTAAGATACAACAACAATATCTGCATATTATTCATCATTAGTTTACATTTTGTAGTTTAGCCACTCACGACTCAAGGAAAATCTTATTGTGTTACATGGTTAGAAGAAATTCACTAAGTTCCGACTCGAAGTGCTATATATACTACAATTGTAGCTCGGGTGTACAAGCGATAAATCGTCGGACCAAATATTTGGTCACATATAACATGAGAATGCAGACACCACAACACGTGGTGTCATTAGTGATTGTTATAAGAGCATCTAATCAACAAAACTTTATTATGCAACAACTTGATTATTATCATAGATACTTTATTAAAGAGAAACTTTACTGATAGAAAGGACTAATCAAATTGCTATTAGCACAATTTTATGATGTAATCATACGTTTGATGAGAATTAAAATCAAATATTTAGTAAATTTAGATAAAAGTTAACAAAATATAAGGTTGAAAAATTGTGAATCTCATGAAATATATGTTTAAAATTAATCGCTAAATTTAATTTAAATTAAAATCTTGATTTTATTTCCACCAAACAACGACTAAATTTGTTTTTGTCGTAAGGAACACAGTCTTGGATTAGTTTTGTTTTCAAGCTTATCAGTGACATATTACCAACTTGAAATAAATGCTATGATTGGTTATTATAACTTGCATAGAATTAATTTAGAAGTTGGTTGTCATATCTAATTATAACCTGGCCCAATTTTTGACCTACAATTTCACAAAAGGGAAAATTAAAAAAGATTATGTCGACTTTTTTTCAATATTTGTATTTTGAACTTTAAAATCTTATAGATTGAGATTCTGCAATTAAATCACACATACGTGATTAAATATTTTTTAAATATGACCAAATATACTTTCTGTTCATTCGTTTCGTTGAAATTATTATTCACTTATTAAGACTTATTACTTATAAGCACTTAGTTTGTGAGACCAAGATCTTGCATTGTGTATTATAGTATAGTGATGGCACAACACAATCTAAAAACATTAATCATACTGTACACTTATCTCTTGGCAATTGATCGACCTAATAAAGGATTTTAAAATGTTGCATTTCTTTTCTAATTTTAAGCAAGACTGAGATCAACTTATACGTATTCTTTGTTTGTTTATGATTACTTTTGTAAGTAGGGATTATGACTTAACACGTAAAGATATGAGATTCCAAAAAGGAGAAGAAATCAAGAATGTAGGATTCCACTTATCATCATGGTACTATGGACCATTTACATACCTTTTCTGCAATCCCTACAAGATTTATCACTATCAAAAGTTGCATAATAAGTGAATATACTGTCATGTCTCCTCTGTCTTCTACTCCATTCTCATATTCTCTCATTGTGCTTTCTGATATGTGTTCCTCAGCAAAACTTGAATAAGTTGGACCTCACAAGAAACACGATTTTATCGTCCCAATATGATACTACTTGTTTGTGCATCAAAAGGAGCATCCATTTTCAACGTATATTTTCAATAAATTCATTACAAGTTTCTCCTTTCCTCCACTACATTTTGACCATACTTCCACTCTGAAATTCTACTTTCTATCCACTAAAATCAGAAGTCTGTGAAAATGACCCTACCTTGTTGACATTTAAACCCTATCCCAAACTTCTTGTCTTGAATAATCAATGCTTCAAAATGGTGATTTTGTGTGGATTTTGACCTCTAACATGGATGAAATATAGTTTTATCGTATATCTCCGGTTAACTATAACTTTAAAAATAAATTTATTTCACTAATCTCTTCCGTTGATTTTAGAGTTGGAACCAATGTATTCGATTCTTTTACGAGGGAAGGATACGAAGATTATTAATAAACATTAGGATGGATTTATTACACAACGGGTGTTGGCTCCAAATGAAGAGTGCTTTCGGTGGATGCTTGAGTGTAATCTTGGATTTTACACGAATGGATTATGCATTGCTTATTAATATAACTTCTTGGAAAAATAAATTCATTCCTGTGCTTTAACTATGTTTCATTTCCTATTTGGTCGGTGTCCATATTTGAAGTGAGGCATATTTCAGTGATGGACCAATGATGTCAATGAAGATTTGAACGATCTTCATGATTCAATTATCGATACTAGCGTTTTGATTCATAAAATGGATTAGTTAATTTTAGTGGAAAAAATTGAAGAAACTTAAAATCATTTAAACAAAGTCAAGAACCTGCCAATTTGTCCTCTTTTTTTTTTTTTTTTTTTTTTTTTTTTCCCTTTTTCTTTTTTTTTTTTTTTCAAATTTGCAAAAGTTAAATCATAAATGGAAGTCATTGTCTCCTCAATTCCCTAATTACGTCCAATGTCATTTCAACACATGATAAACAAAGTCAAGATAATGTTATAATGGCTCAGCCTCAACGTGAGAATTGTGCCTAGGTTTTCACGATCAATGTGAAAATAAACCACCCCCTTAAGGACCGTTATCAAGGCGATCCACAATCAATGAGATAAATCTACATTATGGTCCCGTTTTGTACACATTAATGTAAAAATACGAATGAAAAATATAATCGTTATGGATTCCACACAAGAGATAGAAAGCCAAATATAGTGGATTGATGTGATGGATAACGGTCATATTTTTTATTTTAATGAGCAAATAATGAAAAACAAACAGAAGCTATAATTAAGTTTTAAACGGCCCAACAGTCTCCATGGTGTTAGAAACGTATCATTAGAACTTAGAACTTAGTTATTAATTAAGCTCCCGTTTGATTCCCATTTTTCTCATTATTTTTTCTACAGTACTCATTTTAAACAATACATTTTTTTATTAAAATAATATTACACGTAAATAAATAAAAAATCCTTCTTTTTTAACCATTCATTTCCCATCAATTTACTATTCCATAATTCATTACAAGAAATTAATGGGGCTCAAACAAGGACTAGATGGAAATGACCCAATATCAACCTTTAATTGATTCAACTAATTATTATCATTACTTGGAGGGAAAAGTAATGGCATTATTCTTAATTTTAACTTCTTATTTTCTATTGCTATGGTCCCAATATGAATTATAAAATGAACTGCAGATTCTAGCAGTCCTTCTTGCAACTGTAGGAGCAGTATTGTCAATGAAATACTTGGACAACTCTTTCAATAATCTTCACCAGAGGATAGGCATAGCCCTATATAGTGGCATATGGCTGCAAGTCTTGACTGGCATCTTAAGGCCACATAGGTAAAGGATCTACCTTTATTTTGAAAACACCGAAACTTCTTGCATGTTTGGGATTGCTTCTGCTTTTCGTAGAAGAGTTTCATTGCATTCAACTAGCTTTCTTTAAAAGTTATTCTAATTGGAACAAATATTTCTAGAAAATTATTCAAAAAAGTTCAAAATCAACTTTGACTTCTCAAAATTTTGCAGACCGAAACTCTGAAAAAAAATTTGTGTGCAGGGAAAGGAAAGGAAGAAGCATTTGGTATATTTTTCACTGGTTACAAGGGATTACAGTTTCTTTTCTGGGAGTAATCAATATATACACAGGTTTACAAGCTTACCATGGAAAAACATCGAAAAGTGTAAGGATTTGGACCATAATTTTTACTGCTAAAATTTCTGCCATGATCTTCTTGTACCTTCTCCAAGAAAAGAAGAATTACATGCAGAAACATGGGGTGATTTTAGATGTACAACCAAATGATCAAGAACTGTCTCCAAGAAATAAGCAGAAAGAAACGCCAACACAGAATTGTTGAGGACTTGGATGAAATTTTCTTTTCATAAATGTCCACATTTTGGCATTGGATGCTTTCTAACATTTTTGTGCTTTTGCATCATTTCAGTATAATGGATGAGACCTTTTTATCCACTCTTAATATGTATGAATTGAAAATTTGTGTAGGAAGTTGATAAATTTTCTTAAATCAAGATGCAATTTCTGCTGAATTTGTATTTGATTTAAGTTAAATTTCAACATACTAAGTTTTTCTGTTGATTTTGTATTTGCCCAAAATGAAATACAAATATATTATTTAAAAGTTTTTCATTTATCTATCTTTTTGTTGTACCTCCTCTTATATCTTTGAATATTCCTCACAATATCAGCCCTTGCTAGCATCTAACAAGATGCCGCAAAGTATACTGCAAGTAACATCATATTTAAAATAACGTCTTGCAATTTGCTAATAATAAATGACCGAGTAAGACATAAGATTTGAGTGAAGGACGATATATCTTGAGTTCAAAAAACAAAAATATTAGCCCCGAAACTACCTTGAAACTCATTTTTAAGGGATTGGGAGGCATTCTACTTATTCTGCAAAAGCTCTCATTTTAGGAAAGGTGAGGCATTCTACTTATTCTGCAAAAGCTCTCATTTTAGGAAAGTAGGTCCTTTTGGCTTCAGAAATTTGTTATCCTTTCTCCACACAACACAAGGCTTTCACCCACCCGAACACAGAATCGAACCTTCAAGCTTCACTACCTTTCCTGGTGTATTTCCAGAATCGAACCTTCAAGCTTCACTACCTTTCCTGGTGTATTTCCCTTAAGAGCTAGGAATCCAGTGAAAGAATAGTAACATGACTAAGATCAGTCTATAGCTACTCACAGTGATAAAGAAAGATTATTGGCTTTTCCCGACATTACAACCTATTCAACAAATATCACTTTCAAGATATATAACTACTCTAAAGCGATATAAAAATCACAGAAATTGGGCAGGTAACACAAGACTAGTTATACTAAATTCAAACTTGTTACTAAGAAATTATTGGACTTGTTCTGTTTGGGTGCGCCGAGCCCATGCTGTAGTGCAACACATGGGCAACACTCGAAGGCCCGGGTAGCAGGCTACACATTGGATCTTCCCCCCTTAAAATATATATTTAATATCGTGTGAGCCAATGGCCCACATATCAGATATTAAACTGATAAGAACAGATACTACACTTAATCTTAGCCAAAAGGCCGAGAAAGGTATGTTTAGATTTTTTTAAGTTTGTTTAATTTATAAATCCTTTCTCTGATGTTTGTTTACTACATGAACGATGTGGGACAAAAGAAACTGCCTTTGCTTAGCATTTCAGTTTTGCACCACTTCTTCTTTTTCTTCTTTTCCTCTCTCTATTTATGTATTTATAATCAGAGTAGCTAGACTACTACGTGGAGGGGTGCAATTAAACACAGTTCTCTCACTGGTATACCGGAAAAAATAAAAACAAGGTTTGGTAAAGTTGAACTCAAATGGATACATGAAGCAATCTACTAACTCGGCAGCTGGTCACAATGCTCGAGTGCAGAGGCAGAAATGAGAGCAATTTGCACAGCTCTAAATATTGCTTCTAGTTCCAGTATAAGAAGATTTGGGTAGAGAAGATGTCTTAAGTAGAGTGTGCGGATTAAATTTCATACCATATTTAACAATATTGTGGTGCAACTGTTGGGAATTTACTTAAACATACACAGCGGAATTAAACAAATTTCAATTTTCATTTAGGATTAAATTTTGTATTTAGATAAGAATTGTGATAAGAAATATACATTTTCTTGATTTTGCAAACTCATTCGCGTTATTTTTTTCGAGCAACTTGAATCTGCCTCCTACAGTTGTTCAATTGTCCAGCCTCCAATGAAATCCACACAGAGAATAAACTGCAACTATTAGGATTTTTCCTCTTGTGCCAGCAAGAATAGTGAAAACCTTATAGACCTCAAACTCTAGCCATGTATTTATATAAACTCAAATGGACTCGGCCCGATTCGGTCCAATGTTTAATTAATCCATTTAATTAAATCCGGTTCGTGAATTAATTAATCCAATTAATTAATTCGGGAATATAAATAACAAATCCAATTAATTAATTTATCCAACGATTGTTAAATTAATCAATTGGCAATTTGTAATCTTCCAATTCTCTTTTGTGTGCGACTCATTAGGTTCCCGACCACGATGTCTAACGACGTGAAATATTATTTTGATCTAATCAAAACTGATAAATTAAACACCCTTTTAATTTATCACAAATTCACACTCGCCGTCCCAGATTGACATCTAGCAATGTATCAGGGCAACACATTTGACGGGAAATGTCACGTGGTATGACAAAACCAAAACTGTTCGTTTACCATGAAATTATAATCCCTTCGTCAATATGATCCGATCAACTACGAGATATGGAAGTGTGTCAATCTCGATTATCGATCATATCTTTCATTCTACTATTAAGTCAATATGAGTCGAAAACTCCTTTTCGACTTATAAGTATATCTTGGCCAAAGATTTCGTTATTGACTTAATTAAACGAAATGCAGATCACAATCTCTTACTATCTAAGAGTGACGAATTCTCTATTGGTCATTCACAACCTTCATATGGTTCTTGACATATCCGAACGATGTCGTATTAGCGGCCCTTGGCAAAGCAACATCCAACACCGTCAAAGTATGACTGTCCTCATACAAGGCACTATGATGACCTCAAGTTGTAGGACCAATTTCACTACTGAACGTTAGAGATTAACCACTGACACTCAGATAGTTATCCATGTGAAATCTCTTAGCGGGTCTCCAATGTTTTGTTCTATAACAAAACATCCACGTATTCATTTAAGTGTCACCACACTTTAACTCGTGAGATCAGCTACTTACTTCACAAGTAAGAAATGCTACACGTGATGGTCTAACTGTATTAACGATATCCGTATCTCGTTATTACTTATGACCACGGTTTATTCAAGATCCAATTATATGTAATTTGTATCTCACAATCACAACTCCTTGTGATTAACAAATCACTTAAACTTGGATCTTCGGATTCTATTATTTAATATTATTTATCACAAAATTAATTTAAATAAATAATAGATCTCGCTAAAATTAAATGCATTAAACATATTAAAAGCGTTTACAACCTAAATCAATTGGATCTAGGGCATAACACTTACAAACTCTCACTTGCACTCGATCCAATCACTCATGTACCTAATACCATAAGCGTCCACATGACGATCATGTTTCTGTTGTGACAACGGCTTTGTCAGTGGATATGCAATATTGTCATCTGTGGGAACTCGCTCTATCTTTACGTCATTTCTTTGTATAATCTCCTTGATGAGATGATATCGCCTTAGCATATGTTTGGATCGTTGATGAGACCTCGGTTCCTTCGCTTGTGCAATTGCTCCATTGTTATCACAATACAAAGGTATGAGATCAACAATGCTAGGAACGACTCCAAGTTCATTAATGAACTTCTTGATCCAGACAGCTTCCTTTACTGCTTCAAAAGCAGCAATGTACTCGACTTCTGTTGTTGAATCAGCGGTTGTCTCCTGTTTGGAACTTTTCCAACTAACCGCTTCATTGTTGAGAGTAAACATATATCCTGATTGAGACTTGCTATCATCTTTGTCAGTTTGAAAGTTGGCATCAATATACCCATGAATTTTCAGTTCATTTCCTTCATAGATCAATAACACATCTTTAGTCCTTTTCAAGTACTTAAGAATGTTCTTAACCGCTATCTAGTGTTTCTCATCAGGGTTTTCTTGAAATCTGCTCGTAACACTTAGAGCATATGAAACATATGGTCTCGTACATAACATTGTATACATGATAGATTCTATCGCCGAAGCATAAGGAATCTTATCCATACGACTCCTTTCATCATTTGTTTTAGTACACATATTTTTTGAGAGGTAAATCTCATGCGACATGGGACATAAACCTCCTTTAGACTCTTCCATATTAAATCTTCTCAAGATTTTATCTATGTACGAAGATTGCGATAAGCCTAATAATCTTTAAGATCTTGATTCCCAAGATATACACTACTTCTCCCATATCTTTCATGGAGAAATTCTTTGACAACTATAATTTTACCGATTGAAGCATTGGGATGTTGTTTCTCATTAATAATATGTCATCGACATATAATATTAGGAATACGACTGCGCTCCCACTTGTCTTCTTGTAAACACACGGTTCATCTTCATTTTTTATAAAATCAAACCTTTTGATTGTCTCATCAAAATGAAGATTCTAATTCCTAGAGGCTTGCTTTAATCCATAAATGGATTGATTTAGGTTACAAATTTTGTTGGCTCCTTTGGATTCAGAACCTTCAGGCTGTGTCATGTACACCTCCTCTTGTAAGTTTCCATTAAGGAAAGCAGTTTTAACATCCATTTGTCATATCTCATAATCATGGTATGCAGCTATTGCAAGCAAATCCGAATGGACTTTAGCATGACTACAGGCGAAAAAGTTTCATCAAAGTCAATATCTTATCTTTGTGTATAACCCTTTGCTACTAGCCTTGCTTTGTATGTATGGACGTTTCCATCCACATCGACCTTTTCTTGTAAACTCATTTACAACCTATCGATTTTATCCCACCTGGAAGGTCGACCAAGGTCCAAACATTATTCTCATACATTGAGTTCATTTCGGATTCCACGACTTCTTGCCATCTCTTCGAGTCAACACTTGACTTCGCTTCTACGTAATTTGTAGGTTCATCATCCTCGACTAATAATACTTGATTAGTAATCGTGAATTCGTACCTTCTGGGAGGTCGAATGATCCTACTTGATTTACGCTGAGCTGGAGTGTCCTCAGGGTTCTCTACATCCTAATCAAGAGTCTGTCCGTCAACAGGTGTAGGATTAGACTCAGGTTCATCTAATTGGACAACAATATCTGTGGATTCTTGAACTTCTTCAAGTTCTAGTTTACTGCCACTACCCTCTCCTAGAATAAACTCTTTCTCTAGGAATATGGCATGTCTTGAGATTAACACCTTCTTCTCAATGGGATTATAAAACTGATATCCAATTGTCTCTTTTGGATATCCCACAAATACGCATTTGTCAGATTTAGCCTCAAGCTTATTTGATTCATTTCGCTTTATATAAGCGTCACAGCCCCAAACTTTCATATGAGATAAGTTTGGTCTTTTTCCTCTCCATAGCTCGTACGGAGTTTTGTTGACCGATTTAGATG